AGCACATTTCAGCTAAAAATTTCCAAGTCCTGAAACATCCATTGGTCACTGTGCTTTTCTGAGATGCTTGAGCTCAATTGTGGATTACTTTGAGAGGTCTTTTCAAATAGTGCTTTAAATGAATACCATCATTTCTCAAATATGCCCTGTATGGAAAATCTTTTCCTTGAGTGTTCCTGTTTATAGACTACCAGTTCAAGTGGGAAACTAATAAAAGCAAAACAAATGCTGATGCAATTAGTATGTCCCTTCAATTATCTGTGGATTGGAAAAATTCACAGCAAAAATGGACGCTATTAAACTGCAGCAAAAAGCAAGTGTTTTGGCTCAAATGGGAGCAAATCTGAACCTTTTATATTTATGAACCGTGTGATGGTCTTGGGCAAAGCCACTTAAGTTATCCGTTAAATGAGTAGAAACATAACATATCCCATTTGTTGATGCCGTTTCACGTGCAGGGCACTGTGCTAGTTCTTCTGCATGCATTCATTGTCTCATTTCGATCTTAAACTAATCCACAAGGAAGGTTACTGTTCATATTCACTTTGTAAGTGAAGGAACTGAAACTCAGAAAGATTGAGTTACTAGTCCAAAAGCACAGAGCTGTAACTGAATGCCACGTCTGGCTCAAGAGACCTGAGAGCCTACACACAACATGTGTGTCCCTGACACAATAAGTTGTGAAGATTACATGAGATCATGAATGTACAGAGCATGTCTGGCACATGGATAGGGCTGTTATTATCTATTGCCAGCTCAAATTTGCATGGCATTTGACTGCTTAAGGGACTCATTTCCATAGTAATTCATTGGAAACTATAGAAGACCACAGAAGAAAGGTTAGAAGACTGGGCTGAGTTTATTAGTATTCTACATGAAAGGTAGGATCCAGATCTGTTTGTTCCAGAGCCCGACAACTGAACCCTGTTGGTCATTGGAGGGTACATTTTTCTGTAATTCATTTCATTTATTATTAGCAGAAGTAGCTATTTTAAGGTTGGGGGAGTTCTATTCGTATTTGCCTCTAAATTGCTGCTTTCTCTTGCTAAACTTAAAATCTGTTTCTTGATTTTCTGCTTGATTCTCTCCTTTATGTCAGATAATTCACCCTTTAGAAACGTGGAGAAAAAGAGAAGCCTCATTTTGACTCCCACATTCTTTTCCATGGTTAAATATATGCAACTAGGTAGGTAAATTATGAGTGCGTAGTGTCTTTCTAGGGTTAATTTGTAAGTTGGATGTTTGGGAATGAAGCATTTTTCCCAGGTTGAAGGGAGCTTGAAGTCCCATAATAAATCCCACCAGAACCTGTCCTAGGCCTGTAGGAGATGCAGGGATGGGAGGAAGGGACCATGGAGCATGAAGCAAGGCTCTCTGTCCTTCTTTCACTCTAGGCTTCTCCAAGATAAAGGATGAGCACTTGTGCCTTTTGACTCTGCCCATCTCCTTACAGTTTGTCTCATCTCCTGATGTTCTTCATCTTTCTACCTATCTGAGCAATCCCCAAACTTGGCCTGTCTTCTACCAGAGTCTTCTAAGCTCTAATAATCAACTGACTGGCTTCCCCTCATTTTTCCCTTCATAACCCTCTAGTCTAAATGGCCATTTAATATCAACTATATGTTGACAGGAAAATAGGCCAATGAAGTAATTCACGCTATAGTATGAAAGGTTGGTTTTCCTTACCCCCTCTAGAGGTGTTTGCATGTTGAAAAGGTCAAGAGCATAAGAGCATTTGTAATTGGCAGAAACTCTCACAGTGAAACAAAACGAAGTGGGAAATGCCGCTAATGGAGGAGGCATTTTAAACGGGATATGCTGTCCTATGGATATAGTGGTCCAACGAAGGTATTTCTCATCTTTTAGGACCCCATCCTCTCCAGCACACATGTGCCCAAACACACATCTCACCTCCTATGACCTCATATCCATCTTTCCATCATCAAGGAACAACTTTTAGAATGATCGCATTGCAGATGGGGGATCTAGGTCTTAGAGCAGTAAAGTTCATTAATGCTCATCTTGCAGCTGAGGAAACAGGGCCCAGAGAGCAAGGCCTGGGTTCACACACTGGTGAGGGAAGGAACCAGCCCAAGAATCCTAGGCTTCTGCTCAAGAACCTAGGACTTTGTCTATACCTCCATAATTAGTATTCAGAAGTCTTATAAACTTGGAAACACTCATACAAAGGTCTTGATTACCTACCCATTTGGGTTCTCTTTTTCCTCCTTGGAGTCAACAGGTGGAAGTTACCAGTGCAGGAAGCACTGACAATCCATCCTGGGGTTCCCACCATACTCTGTCCTGGAGGCCTGGAATTGTCTAGCTGCCAGATGAAACCAGGGAAGAATTGAGGTAGTGGGGCTGCAAACCCTAACACAAGCTATCTTCATCATCAGCTACTCTTGGAAGATGCCATGAAATTTTTTAAAAAGATGCATGTAAAACACAGGATCACCATGGCTTCCTTCAGCATTCTTTCGCTGAGCAGTAACCACTCTTCCTGCTTCTTAGCAGTATGGCCTATGGGCAGAGATGATGGCCTCTGAAAAGGCAGACTGCCAAAGGCCGTATCTCAGCCACCACTTCCAGGTGGATTCCCCAAGTTCTGTGCCTTAACTTTTCCTAACAGAAGCAATGATAGTTTATATGGTTGTTTTATAGACAGAGGTGCTTACTGAATGTTAGCTGCCACCGTTAGTTGCATGTATTTCAATTGCTTTTTTCTGTTGATGTTGTTTATATGTAAAGAAGGGAAGCTTCCCCAGTCTTAGTTGCCTTTCTCCATTGCCTGGCAATGTGTAAATGGTCCTGAAAGGTTAAGGTGACCCTTTTTGCAATTCATGCCCAGGAGGCCTCTGTGCATGTAGTGAGTCACCACCACTTAGAAGTGCACCAGTGAGTCAGGAGTCTGTTAACAGCGAGGTCAGAAGTTCCCCTGGCCCTGAGGGACAAGATCCAAACTGGTCCTGGGGTGCAGAAACAGCTCTGGTGTGGTTAGCTGGACCTGGAGAGCCATGGAGAGAAGCAGGCCTGCTCCAGGGATGGGGCTTACAGGGGAGGCAAATGCTGGGGCTTTGAGCTCATACCAAGCTCAGCTTGCTTTCTGCTTCACACTGCTTTGCTGGATAATCCCAGACAGGCTATTTTTCCTCTCTGTACCTTATCATATTTTATCATCTGCTAATGAAAGTGTTCTTAATGGAAATTATTCTGAGAATCACATAAATATTCAGGACAGAGTGAAGGTGTCCACCATGCTCATCCCCTTGGTTCATGGCAATGGCACACAGGCTGATTTAAGAGAACAGTGGCCATGGAGAAGCAAACCAGGAGGAAGTAGCAGGAATAAGCATGTGATGAGTTTTCAGGAACAGCAGGTCAGTTAGCTATTATTAAGTGTAAGAAGAATCAGCAGATATTTCCTTACTGCCTGCCTATGAAGGCGTGAGAGTGTCCACCCAGTTTCTGTTTAGCAGAGGAAGATTCTGAGAAATGAGGTAGGGGCAAGCTTCACGTGGAAAGCCACATCTGTGTTAGCACCAATCAAAAGCTGGGTTTCCGTTCAGGTCCTGGAGCTCCAGGGTACTTTTCCCGGCCCAGGCAGAAGAAACCTGGCTCGCTCTGACAACACACATGTTAAAAATAGGAATGTCGTGCAATCGACCTGTCGTTCCTCCTCCTGCTCACCAGTGGCCTCCTCATCCCGTGCCATCTGCAGAGCTGCTCACCCTTTGTGCTTTCGGTGCTCAGATTCGATGCCTTCTTCTGCCATCCCAGTTACTCCACATGCTTCCATCCCTGGCCTCCCACATTTTCCCTTCTTCTTCTTCTTTTTTTTTTAGTGTGGTGTTGCTTCTCTCCCCCTTTCTCTCGCTCTCTTCCTCCCCTTCAATCCCCACCTCCTCCCTCCACACCAATCAAATTCCTGCTTGCTCCTTGCCATATTCATTGTCCTACCTCACCACTCCCCCCATTCCTGGAGAACAGCTCACAGACTCACCCTTCCCCCCTCCAACTCCCATGCCCACCCCTCCATAAATTCCTGCAGCCTGGCAATCAGTAACTTCAGCATCACACTTCACAGCTCTCTAGTTTACTCTGCTTGTTACTATTCTCCTTGCTACTGCTCTCTAGGGTTTTCTGCTTTTTTTTAAAAAAAAAAATGCTGTACTTAAAAATATCCTGGGTACAAGTTGACTCTGCAGTTAAGTTTACTCGCACATTTACACATTTCATGATTTTATTTTAACTAGTAGCTCTGGTCTACGCTTAATTATCCAGAAAAGAAAAGACCAGCCCCTCAGGGAACAAGCAAAGAGATGAAAATCCAGCTAAACATTCAACCGCCAGCTCAGTGCTGGGTCCACCCACCCTCTTATCGCCAATCTCAGACTAAGGGGACTTTGCTTTTCCCTTTGTCGGGTCTTCCATTGGAATCTTCTGGAGCTCCTATGGCCTCTGTCTGTGTGTCTGTGTGTGCACGTGCGTGGCCACTGCTGCTTTCCAAAGGGCTCACACCTCTCTTCTGCCATTTTACCAGGACACAGGAGGCAGCTATCCGCACCCACTCTCCCTCTCTCCCTTTCTCTCCCTGCCCCCAACTCAGCCTGGGCTTTTCCTGTCTCTTAACTCCACCAGTGCAGCAGCAACTAGCTGAGCTGCTGGCTTGTGAGTGAGGGAGTGTGTGTGTGTGTGAGTGTGTGTGGGTGTGTGTCTGCCTGTGCAGCTAGGCCAAGCCTGTGAGCCTGCCTGTCACTGGAGAGTTTGAGTTTGCATTCAGAAGGAGGGAGGAGGGCAGACAAGAGGGGAGGAGGAAAAGGTGGTGGGGGGAGGAGTGGGGGGGGGGCTGCTTAGAGAAGGGAGGGAGAATGTCTTGTTTGTGGCTTGTCAGCAATTGCTTGAGACAAGCTTCCATGTGTGAAAGCTACTTGGCATGAATGCCTGGGCCGTACCAAGTGTCACCACAGCGAGAGGGGGAGTCAGAAGAAAAACAGATCAGACCAGAGCAGACAATAGGCCCCTAAAGTGTTCCCCCTAAGTTGCTTTGATGTTGTCCTGGTGTCTTGATACCAAGAGGCCAGGGATTGCAGGAAAAGGGTCTTTTTTTGTCTTCATTCACTCCCCCCCCTCAGTTTCTGAAATGATTCTCCAGAATTTCTCCTCATAAAAAAGGTAAGCGCCCTAACAATTCCTCCTTCGGTGGCAGGCTTGCTGGCGGGTGCCTGGAAGTGGGGGTCTCATTCCTGCGCTGCTCAGGAGGCACGCTGGGGTCCTGCGATTGGAGCTCCTGCGCTGGCGCTGGAAGTCTTTCCAGGCGCTCGGGGCTGGGGGTGGCCCCTCTTTCGAGGGAACCCCAGAACACAATCTCTGTGCCTCTGGGTTGGTGGGGGAGAAGGGGTGGCTGGCGAGGGGAGGGAGGAGGGTGTGGAAGTAGAGGGTGGGAGGGAAAAGAAGAGAGAGACACAGAGAGAGAGAGACGGAGAGAGACAGAAGCGTGAAAGAGAGGGAGAGAAGGGCAGAGCCTGGTTCTCAGAAGCCCCAGCTGGAGCCCCGGGCAGGCCTGGCACGGAGCCGGGGCTGCCTGGGGCTGTGCGGAGCGAGCGACTGCAGACGCCGCGCCTAGCTTTGTGTGTGCGAGGGTGCCCGTGGGTCTGTGGGCGCGTGGACTTGCCACCCGCCGCGGGCAGTCTGCCCCGAGCCCTGGCAGACTCTGCTGCGAGGACGCAGCGGCGAGGCAGCCGAGCAGGGAGAGCCGGAGAACTCTTGTCTCCAGAAACTTTCCCAGTCTCGGGGATTCCTGCGGGCGTGGGCAGTGGCTGTCACGGAGTTGTGGGGTGCTCCTGCCTCGGTCTGCCCCCTTGGTAAAGGCCAGAGAAGCTGCCTGGGGATGCTGCGCCGTCTCCCTGGGATTTAGCCACTGGTACAGAGGCTGTGCCTGACCCGCGTGAAGAAACCTCCACGCTAGCAATGCTGTGGAATCACCAAGTAGAGGTGTTATCATTATTCTCCATCATCATCATCATCGTGATAATAAACCGTCATTAAAGACACCGTGAGACGAATCACACGGGGCACACAGATCTCAGCATTTCTGAGGAAACAAAAAGCCTTTTTCCACCTGTTGGCTTCTGTCCTTCCCCCCTGTATCTTTTCCTTAGATTTATTGCCTGATTTGTACAGAGAATGGGGTGGGAGGGGTCGGGTGTGCCCCTCCCCTCCTCCCTAGTACATATTTTTGTAAAAAGGAGGTCAGTGTAAGATGCTTGAGAAAGAAAATGTGGCTTCAGTTAGAGCAGTTTATCCCAGCCCGTGTGTGTTTTCCGGGGCTGCCGGAGCAAGCCAGCCCCAGCTGTAAACTCTACCTTGGAGGCTAAAGATTTTCATTGTGGCTTTTAGAGATTAAATGAGACTTATTTACAATTGCTGTTTATCAGAGAGTAAAGATCTTATGGTGTGTGTGTGTGTGTGTGTGTGTGTGTGTGTGTGTGTGTGTGTTAGGGGAAGAATCTGCAGGCTGTTTACTCGCTGGTGGTTTTGTGAAGAAAACCTTCCTGTTTTTTAAAGTGACATCTTGAGAGATGGGCATAGAAGGCGAAGATTGGTACTTAATATTCATCTCCAACAATAATTGTTCCCAAGCAAGAAATGTCTGCTTATTCTCTTGAATGGTAGATTTCCTTTCTTCTGTTCTTACGACAGAAATTGTTTCAAGACTCAGTGGCAGCTCTCTGTCTGAATTCTCTGGGGGAAAATTTTGCTTTCTTACCTGATTTTAGGTTTTCTGTGACTCTGCTGCTTGTCACCCCCCAAAAAATCTGTGAAAGTCTGGGAGGCTAAGCCTCTTTTCATTCTAAGTGCAAGTGTTTATGTTGACAGACGCCTGTGACAGCAGAGGTGGAAGTGAAAGGCCGGCCCTGGGTGAGCACTGTGCTCTTCACAGAGGCCTGCCAACGTGACTTTGGGTGTGGGAAAGGATCAAGGGAAGAAATTCATTGGCCTGACTCTGGCAAGAAGGCCCTCCCCAACCCTCCCCAACGTTTCATGCTTCACTTGGGCCAGAGCTAGACTTTTTATTTTAACACTTAATTGTTTTCTCCTTTGTAGGCAGCAGATCTTAACCATGATCTGTCTGGTAAGATGTCAGGGTCCAGATAATCTTCCTAAAATGTTGGGTTTCAGAACTGCCAAGGGAAAAAGAAGAGTTATCCATCTTGCTTTAAACAACAACATTCAGGCCCAAGACAGATAAGGAATGAACGGAGGAGGGTTCAAGGAAGCCGTGGTGGCATCCAGCTCACACCCTGGGGTTCAGAGTGTCTTGAGGTGTTGGCCTGTAGAGACAGCTCCCTTTGGCCATTCTGCTCACTGTGCTGGATTCTAGTAGCACACTTTGCCTCTTGCTTATGTCATAATATGGTGGTACAAACATGCGTCACAACTTGAATTCACCCATTTGTTCATGTGTGTGTGTTTCCGAGACATGCGGAGCCTGGCTGGCCATTGAGAGGACAGGAAAAAGCAAAGTGGGTATGTGTGTACATGTGTGTAGGTGTGTGGGTGCCTGTATTTGCAAGGAACCCAGTTTTCAGGGTAAAAACAACATTAGCCACAGAGTTCCACAAATCAGTCATTGCTATATTGATGATATCAATCACGGTACTGGGCATAAAGTTGCACAAACTATTGACCTAACCTTGGGAACCAGACAGGAGGTCACTCTCCTTTACTCTTCTGGCCTGCTTCCCCTGCCAAGCCCCATGGCCCTGGTGGTGTCCCCGCTTACACACAGCTCAGTGATTCAAGACAGTAAGAAATTCTCTCTCTCCCTCTCACTAGGCACACAGCAGAGCAGAGACACAGATAACATCTATTAACCCTTTACGTTGGTATTATTAAATAACTTCACACTTGTTGTGAGCCGGCCTATGTAACAGTCATTATCTGGGTAATTCACGCTAGCTGTAGCCTCTGCGCACTGTTAAACTCTAATAAGCAGAGGAAAGACTGTGCTTACTGAAGCTCTCATCTCACTTTACTTATTACAAAGTTTGTCTGGCTAATACTAAATGCTTAGCTTCTGGAAACACCACCGTTATCACTGTCATCTTCCAGGTTCTAACTACAGCAATGAAAGAGCAAGGGCACATATCTGTTTATTACATAGGGGAAGGTTTTTGAAAAACCTCTCCAGCAGCTCCCATTTTGGTCGTGTTCTTAACGGCTTTTTACCAATTTGGTGATGGCAAAGGCAGGCTCAGCTCTCCCACCCTGCACCTCCCTGTCTTGGGTCTAGTCTTCATTGTAGACATGCCAGTCATTTCCCTAGAGGCACATCTGTGTTCATACTTTTGCCGTCCTTGCCTATGTGGCACCTTTCCTTAGTACTGAGAGGAGTGATGTCTTTGGTGTTGTCAATCCATCTTTTTCAAAAGATTAATTTAATAATTTAAAGAGGAGACAGACATGCCCGCCCACACATAAATCATAGGTTTGGTGCCTGTGCTTTGGGAACCCACACACGTTGTGTGGTTAAGTCCTGTGATGAGCACACTCAGAGTCATTTCTGTGTACTTAGCCCCACTATGCAGTGATGTACCTGGCCCACGTGGTGGCAACCACCTACTCTGGAACTTGGCACGGTCTGTATTTAGTGCCTGTGGCCAAGGCCTTCTCCCAGAGCTGGATGCACTTCATTTGCAAGTCTTTGATCCCTTCCACCCCCAAAACGTGTTACTGGAAGCTGCCTCTGGGGGTGGCAGTCTCTGTTGATTGTGGGAGAGGAATTCAAAGTAAGGAGTAATCCGAGTGGGGGAGCCCGAGCAGAGAAAGAACAGGGTGTAGTTATGGGAAAGATCCAGACTTACCCACAGCAGCACTATACCAGGTCATCCTTAACTTTGGGAGAATGGGAATGAAGACTGTGATGACATTTTAGAAGGCACAGAATGTGGGTGCTGTGTGTGAGTAAAGATGCTGGAACCTCATGTCCCAGCTGAAAGGAAAACCAATGCGACACACAGGAAGGTCCCCCAAACGGGTGAGCTACAAACACTGCATTCACTTGTAGCTTCATTGTAGGAGATTTTGTGGGGTTTCTGCCCCACCAGAGACATAAATATAAGATGTAAAATGGAAATTTTCTCCGTTCTTTTTATGTCTTGACATTTTAATGCACTCTAACTTATCTGCTTAGTCCTCTCTTGTAACAGTCCTGCGAATTAAGTATTACTGTTACATTCCTGTTGTATCTGAATAAGGTTATGTGACTCACCTAGAGGCTCACAAGAAAACAAGGGGTTGGGAGGCTCAGCAGTACAGCCTGCTGGTTATCTCTTCCAGAGATTAGAAGCAGAGAACTGAGATGGTTAGCATGCCATTCAGATCAAAGGTATTGTATTGATGCAAAGTTAAAATACATTTCTCAAATTTTGCTCCCCACACTCATTTTTTGAAGGTTTATTTGTTTGCTTGAATGGCAGAGTTATAGAAAGATGGACACACACACACACACACACACACACACACACACAGAGGTAGTGGGCACAGAGTGTTAGGGGAGATTATCACATCCACTGATTTGCTCCCCAAAATGGCCACAACAGCCAGAACTAGGCCTGGCTGATGCCAGAAGCCTGGAACTACATCAGGCCTCCCACATTGCTGATGGGAGAGCAAGCACTTGAGTCATTCTCCACTGCTTTTCTAAGGAGCATTAACAGGGAGCTTGATCAGAAGCAGAACAGCCAGGATTTGAACTTGTGCCACTCATAGGCTGGCACTGTGACCCCTTTTGTTTAAGACTAAGATTTAGAGTGTTGACCAAAAAGAGACTTCCAATTGTAATTTAGTAAAGACATGTTTTCTACAAAGTACATTGGACTAGGTTCTTGCTTTGATTTTACTGGTTTCATTTGGTCTCTTAATTTTTTAAATTTTATGTGAAAGAGAAAGAGACAAAGTATGATCTTCCATCTGGTGGTTTACTTCTCAAATGCCTGTAACAAATAGGACTGGGTCAGACCAAACCCAGGATCCCATAACTTAATCCAGGTTGCTACATGGGTGGCAGGGACCCAAGTTCCTGAGCCATCACGGCTGCCTCCCAGTGTGCACATTAGCAGAAAGATATTATCAGCAACAGTTGGAACTCAAACCCGGGTACTCTGATGTGG